TGATGCATTGAATTTTTCGTTTGTTTATTTGTGATGATGTTTGGATGACACGCTGATGTCAGGATTTAAAGTGTTAATCTGCCTAGACTGCAGAGTGTGCTGGTCATGGGAAAATTCATATTAATTTCAAGTGAAGTGATATCCATGTTTGAGACCCCAATGAACATCTGAGTGTTTTTTTTTTTTTTGTAAATTAATGAACGGCACGTGATCTGTGTATAGAATTTCAAAATATTTTGACATACCGCAGTCGCCAAGTTAACCACCATATTTTTGTTTTAATTAATTACAATATTCATAAAAAATAAATCATTGAAAATAAATCTTAAATCACATGTGTAGAATGGCATTAATATATATAACACACTTCTGGTGAAAAATTAAGGCGAACTGAAGGTGCAAATACATGGAAGCCGTTTTTACTTTATTAAATCATCCGCTGGCATCTTCGTAAAAGATCAAACAATTTTTAAGCCATTAAAAACTTGTTCTGTGTATTCTCACCTTAATTCAATGTCATTCTGGTCGGTCTTTTTTTCTCCTTTGAAATGTGAGAGATGTCTAAGAAGTGTGTGATACGCATGCATTTCCAGAAAGTTTCCTATAGAGCAGTCTCCACATTGTGTTAAAGTCATATGTAAAGTGATTTTTAACATTTTGTATTTTACATTTCATTTAAGTCCGCTCAACAATTTTTAGACTTAATCGAAACGCGATACTTTAAAAAATCATATGCTATACAAAGATATGTTAAAAAAGCACTATTACATTTAAAGTATATATAAGCATATATACTATGATATAAAGCGTTTTCTTTCGGATAACAAAACTGTGCGAAGCGCCTTAAAGTATGTAATAAAAACTCTTAACATAAATGTAGAAAAAGAAGCTTTACAGGGTGAGATGAAAATCTGCAACCAACTTCAGATTGCTGTCATATCTAAGCCACTCGTCCGACAGCTGTCAAAATTACTCCAGTGACACCTCATTATATTATATATACAAGCGTACAAAAGCATTTTGGTGAGAATTTTCCAGAAAAAAATTATTCATGATGGAATTCAATGTGAATAAATCTTTAGTGTCTCGTACCGTGATACTGCAGCGTAGCCCGACGTCAAGAAAGTGGACGGAAGAAAACAGCAACATCAGCGGAAATGGTTCGAAAAGTAAAGATCGAAACCCGCGTCGCAGTGGCCGAAAAGTGGCTCGTGAGCTGAACATATCGCAGTATTCTATTCGGCAAATATTGAAAAATGAGCTCGGGTTGAAGCCATTGAAATTCCAAAAAGTGCAAGAACTTACACCTCAACAGAAAGAAAATAGACTCAAAAGAGCTAAAGAGTTGTTTCGCTTGACCGAAAGTGGTGAACTGCAGAATTTGGTTTTCTTTGATGAGAAAACATTCATTGTCCAGCAGTTTGTAAACAAACAAAATGATCTTGTTTACTTGCCGAAGAGATCAGCTGAAAATGTGCACTTTTGGTTGGCCACCAGAACTCAAGCGCCGGCCATGGTGATGGTGTGGGCCGTAATAACTGCCGATGATCGTTCACCGCTCGTATTAATCGACTGTGGCATCAGAATAAATGCCGAATATAATCGCGAAAATATATATAAGGTGTATTGAAGCCTTGGTCACGCAAACATTTTGGCCACAGACCTTGGATTTTCAAACAGCACTCAGCACCATCGCACTCAGCACGGGCCACCCAAGAATGGTTACAAAATGAGGTTCCTCGTTTCATTTCCAGCGCACAATGGCTACCAAAATATCCGGATAACAATTCGTTGGAATATTATGTCTGGGGTATTTTGGAAAGCAAGGTTGGCACTAAAAAATACCAAAGTGTCGATCACCTCAAGCAAGCGCTTCGCCAGGAATGGGCCAAAATACCGCAGAGCAACATTCGTTTTCATTGGCCGTTCGAAGGCCATAATTCGTGCCAAAGGTGACCAATTCGAACAAATCAAAACTTATTCTAAAATTTGATGCTATTTCCGACATTTGTTGCTTTCATTCAATTAAATTTAAAAAGAATGTAAAAATTATGTCGTTTGACTTTGTTGCTGTTTTTATACCCTCCACCTTGGAAAGGAGGGTATATTAACTTTGTCATTCCGTTTGTAACATACCTAAATATTCGTTTTAGACCCCATAAAGTATATATATTCATAATCAGCATAAAATTCTAAGTCGATTTAACGATGTCCGTCTGTCTGTCTGTCTGTCCGTCTGTCTGTCTGTCTGTTGAAATCACGATACAGCCCACATTATTTGACGTAGAGCTCCAAAATTTGGCAGAGCTATTTGTGTCTAGGATGGTTGGTATTGAAAATGAGATATATCGGTCCACGTTCTGGTATAGTCCCCATATAACGGTACCTCCTGATATTCGGTATTTTGATGATTTATGCCACATTTTTTCACGGATTTGTCTTAAAATTGGTATTTGTAGGTCATAGCGGGTCCCTGAGCGTGTGGCAAAACATTGCATGTATAGGTCCACGTTGTGGTATAGCCCCCATATAAAGGTACCTCCCGATATTTAGTATTTTAGTTTTTTTTTACCACATTTTTTCACCGATTTGTCTAAAAATTGGTATTTGTGGGTCATAATGGTTTCCAGCTCCGGTGGCGGAACATTGGATGTATGGGTCCATAATTTGGTATAGTCCCCATATAACGGTACCTCCCGATATTCGGTATTTTGATGATTTATGCCACATTTTTTCACGGATTTGTCTTAAAATTGGTATTTGTAGGTCATAGCGGGTCCCTGAGCGTGTGGCAAAACATTGCATGTATAGGTCCACGTTGTGGTATAGCCCCCATATAAAGGTACCTCCCGATATTTAGTATTTTAGTTTTTTTACCACATTTTTTCACGGATTTGTCTGAAAATCGGTATTTGTTGGTCATAATGGGTTCCAGCTCCGGTGGCGAAACATTGTAATTATAGGTCCACGTTTTGGTATAGCCCCCATATAACGGTACCTCCCGATATTCGGTAATTTGATGATTTTTGCCACATTTTTTCAGGGATTTGTTCGAAAATTGGTATTTGTTGGTCATAATTGGTTCCAGCTTCGGTGGCGAAACATTGCATGCATGGGTCCATGATTTGATATAGCCCCCATATAACGGTACCTCCCGATATTCGGTATTATGATGGTTTTTGCCACATTTTTTCACTGATTTGTCTAAAAATTGGTATTTGTGGGTCATAATGGGTTCCAGCTCCGGTGGCGAAACATTGTAATTATAGGTCCACGTTTTGGTATAACCCCCATATAACGGTACCTCCCCATAATCGGCAATTTTAAGGTTTTTACCACATTTCTTCTAATGTTTCTTTTACCCTAAGGTGGAGGGTACTAAAAGTTTGGCCCGGCCGAACTTAATGTTTTTTTACTTGTTTTATCTCACCCTGTATGCATCAGGATAATTACTTTTATCAGTTAAATCAATGATCGACGCATCCTGTCGACCGGTTGATATTTTGAACATATTTGTTTTGCCGTTTTCATTTATTTTATATTTTTCGTCATTTTAAAACAAGTAAAATAACATCAGTCGATTTTGCCGACAGATATATACCTCCAGCCTTGAGTTATGATTATTCTAACAGACTAACTGTTGACCCTTTATGGGGGAGGTTCCCAAGCATTTGGCCAATATTATCCAATTCGTATCTGACCTAAGTCTGATATAAATATTACAACGTGACAGGTTTAGACTATATCGTCTACTTCCTGTACTTTATATGAGATATATGCAAATTTTTGGAAAATGTGGAAATGTGCGTGAGGTTTCAGATATAGCGAAACCAATAAACCACTTCATATAACACAGATAAAAATATTGGTATGTGCAAAATTTGAAGGAAATAGAACATTCACATCACATTTTGTACGAAATCATAAATTCCGATAACAGATTTCTGGTAGCAAGTTGGATAGAATCGCCGACTTATTTATGACAAATATAGGTATTGGAAAGGGTTTGGCAGATATATATCATCTTCACCAGAGATTTTTCCGTTAGAAAAAATGTTTGAAATGCTTATTTCGCGTGTTATGAGCATCTTTCTTTCAAAATTTTGAACACTTTATTGGGAAGTGGCAAAAGGAGTGCGACAATATATCTCACTTTTACAGCAGATCTTGTGTTAGTAAATATGCTGGAATGTATGTAATGAAATGTGAAGAGAAGCGGATGGTTATTTTATAATCGTTTTGGGTATTCAAAAATTTGACCCGCCATATTTATAACAGATCTTGTAGCAATGAAAATTTTGAAATGTACCAAGTCTGAATGGAATCGGATGTTAATTTCACGTTTGGCGAGCTTCGCAGATATTAAATGTTGACCCTTTGTGGGGGAGATACCAGAAGGAGTGGACCGATATTGCCCATCTCCGAACTCGATCTAAGTTTGATAATAATATTACGATGTACCATTTTTGGACAAAATTGGATATTCCACAATTGGATATATATCCTCTCTAGCCATATGGTTCAATAAGAATGGTTGCTCAACTTCAAAGTGTCAAATAGACTTTTAAATATGCAACAGCTGGCTTTGTTTATTTTTATTTCTTAAGTTGAGAAAAACCCGCGAAACAAGAATGGAATTTCGGGGCTATTCCACAAGATGGAATCTAAAATAGTAGGGCAATACAGTTTGTCACAAAATTGTACAATTTGATACCCATTTACGTCGAAAATTTGCATTTATGTTTTGACAGAATAAGGCCACTAAAAAAATTGTATGCTTGGTTCTAGCTTCTGTAATTGTGCCTGAGTCCGCTTATTTGAAATACTTTACCATCTTAATTTTGCCATTTGTAACGGCAGGATTTCTCCTCTTGGGCTGAAATAGCTCGTTGGGGTCCAGCGGTTCGTACAGAAATTTATTTGTTGAATATGTGCGATGATCCTATCCCAAAATCTGCCCGGTATTGATGTGTTACGAAAAACCCTCAAATTGAATATAATTTCATTCAAAAAAGAAATGATTTATTTAAATATATGTATAAAATATGCATGTATGTATAATTTGTTTGTATATAAGACAAAATTTTAAACAAACTATGCGTATATAACATAAAAATAAAACAATTTTGCATAGCAAACATTTATCTATTTTTACGGCCACGTTTACGCTGGGGTACATCATCATCTGAACTTCCAGTCTCTTGAATAACTTTGCTACGTGAAGAAGTAGAAGCAGCCGGACGACCTGGACGCCTGGACGATGAATGTGAAACATTACTGCCTTTCTTTGAAGTGCTCGCAGGTGGTTGTGGGGCGTCTGAATCACTGGAATCACTGGCCTGTGATGATTGCTGTTTTTTACGACGACCTGCTGCAGCAGCAGCTTGTCTGGCTGCTGCACCTCTTTTGGGTGCTTCATCCTCCGAAGAAGAAGACTCTTCGGATGTTGATGATTTCCTTTGTCTATTACGGCGTGATTGGGATGCCCCTCCTTTTGCTTTATTTTTCGTTGTACTTTTAGTTTTATTTTGAGTATTTGAGACGGCATCGGGAGCATTTTCTTTGTCATGTTCTTGGTTTTCCCCTTCCTCTCCAGGTTCTTTGACCTGTAGACATTCGTTTATACGTGTTTCCAATTCGGTTACTAAAGTTTTCAATTCCGGTTTGGCCAATTTGGAGGTATTCGAAATAATCAGTTTAAATGATTGATGCACTTCATCAATTTGTACCTTATCTTTGTAATATTGAATGTTATCGATGAGCTTCTTAATTGTCTTCTCATTGTAGCTTAGTAAACTCAGGCAGTAGGCAATATCACGCCATTGACGCTCTTCACGGGTTACTGGGAAGCGGAGGCAAAGTTTTTCCACCAATGTTTCGACTTGACGATCTTTTTGAATCAGATTGAGAATATATCGCATAATAATTCGATATTTTTCCTCTTCCAAATTCTGTGAGGTATCGCTCAATTTTGAAATTATGTCGGGCAACACATTATAAAGAATATTTGATTTATTTGCAATTTCCTTAAAGAATTGTTGGGTGATATTCTTAATTTCATCATGGGGATCAACGATGCACATTGCCAAATCGGCAATTTGTCCTTTAACGCGAATCATTTCATGTAAAATCAAATGTGACAACATTTTCACAGCCGTCAAACGAAGCTCAGTGTCCTCTTCATGCAGCGTGGAATAGAAATGACCCGTCCACGGCTCAATGATATTGGGAAAACGAAACGTTAAATCCGATAGACCGATGACAATGTTACATTTGATTTTAATATTTTTCGAATGACTCAAAATGTTCATCAGGAATGGCATATTGGCCTCGCAGAAACGTGATGATACGCTCATGAAACGTATCAACGCCAAAGTAGCAGCCTGCTGAAGGGAGGCATCGCGATATTTAACCGGATATTTACAAATTTCCATTACATATGGGAAAATTTTGACCAGTAATGAATTTTGCCCATACAATAAGACTTCTTCGCAAATGTGATTGATAAGTTCGGCAATGTTGTCTTCAGCTGTGGCTCCCACCAAATCTTCATCGGGCTAATAAAATAGAAAGAATAATTTTCAATTTTTTGCGGAATAATTTTACAATGTCTCTCTTACCTCTTGCTGTGGCTCAGCAGCAGCAACCGATAAACGCTTTAGTGACTCTGTGGCAGACATATTAAGATTTGTGGTTGTACGACGAGTTGAATTGAATGCTGTTTTCTTTTTCTTCTCTTCACACTCTTTAAGCTCCTGACGAAATTTCATATTGTTATAGACATCAATGTCCAAGAATATCATTTCCTTGAGAGTTATATAGCCAATCATGAAAATAAAACGTGTCAACAAAAACACCGGCATTTTCATTTGTACCAGACCAGCACCACCAATCTGTGATGGCATAGTCTGTGTCAATTGGGTGCACTGTGTGCCGGGTATTTGTTGCGAGAATGGTGTCTCATGCGCCTGTGCCTGTTGGGATGCTGTTATTTCACACAGCTTCATTGCAAATGCTTTGAATTTTTTCAACAAATCCTTTACGATATTCTGGCAAATGACATCGGGTGTCTGACACATTTGATAGAAGAATTGCAGTGTGTTCATGGTAAGTTTATCAAAATCGGGAATACGTGGATGGAAAAAGAATTTCAAGAACATGTCGATGATTTTTTGTACTACCGGTGAATCGGCATCATATCTTTTATAGTATTTCGATGTCAACGATTGATCAATGGAATTCAACCAGAACTCCAAGCAACTGGCATAGATGCGAGGGTCTTGTTTGCCTCTTTGACCCAGGCCAATACCTTCAATTATATTGATATTCGCTGATGCTATTGACGATTTGGCATAAGAGCACATTATCAGGAGTTGTAATGCTAAACGTGATTCGTTGTCAGTAGTTCCTTCCAATTTCAGAGTGAAACGTTCAAATAGAACTTGTACGACATTCGCATCAATGTCTTCATTATTTACCCATTCGCGTACTAAGCATTCCAATGCTGTGTAATGACCATATTCGATGCCTTCCAGGAACATGGAAAGATTCTGTACCACACGAAGGGCGTGGGCTCTGTAGGGAAGATAAAAACAAGGCGATTTAATGACAGCTTGGTTTATGAAATAATGGATATTTGTTACTCACCGTCCGGTTTGGTCTGTTGTAAATAATACTTTCTTATAGGCATCTGAAACAGCGTCTCGTTTCTCCTTATCCGACGACCATACCAAGTACAACATTTGACGCATTCCAACCTCGGTTCCCTTAATGCCGAACATGTAGCCGGTAGTAAAGAGATCTACAGCCTCATAGACATCAGTGTTTGTTTTGGAAAGTAACATTTCCAATAATTTTGGCATTGCCCGCGAAACTGCTTTTGAGAACTCAATAGAATCTTGCAGAAATTGAACAGTTTTTATTTGTGTTCCCAGTTCTTCATTCTGAAAGATAAAAAATAGGAAAGTATTTTTAAAAAGGGGATTGGAGCTAAAAATCTCAAAATTTACAATAATTAGAAGAATTTCTGAATAGAAGCAAAATACAATCCTCCTGAAATATTTTTTTTGAGATACATAATATGAGGTTTTCTATAGACAAGAGAGAGACTGTGATCCACATTTATGCAATCAATGTCGTTTTGTTCGACGCTTTCGATTAACTTCACAAATTTATATCTTTCCTCAAATATATGTTGAGCTCCCAGTAAGTCTGATTACAGGTCACTGAAGATCTCTAAATACCATGTGGGATGAGACTGGTGGAAACTTAGGAGGGCCATGTGAAGTGCGAGAGATTTGGTAGTTTTTAGAAAAGGAGCAATAATTTAAGGAATGTATCGGCCAAAAAATTGAAGCCAGTGTCTTCCAAAGATCACATGTTTACAAAAAAAAACTTCACAAAATGGCAAACATTCATTCTAGAAAATATTTAAAAGCTCTCTGATAAATACGCTAGGAACCACATCAAATTTCTGAAATACCTCTATTCAATCATAAGTTGGACTATGGAAGAGGTCCGTTTCAATATGTCTCATCTGAATTAGGTTAAAATTAAAAAAATCTGAAAGCATATTGGTTTTTCTACTCAACGGCAGTTAACAAAACTAAAATCTTCAAAAGAAATTCTTAAAATAATAAAACAGTGAAACAAATATTTTACTCACGCTGTCTTTGCATCCGTTCGCCAGAAATATATAGGACTTCAATAGCGCCATATAATATGCACATTGTTCCTCATGACGCAGAGATAAACGCAGCTCCGAATTTCCCGCAACATGGTCAGCTTTGCGCACCAAAACTACAGCTTCTTTGTAGTTTTTCTCCAATAACATTGTTGAGATGCGCTGCACCAAATCTTCATAGTTCTCCTGAGTCTCGGTGGGTTCATTATTTTCTTTTAGGCTTTCTTCCACAAATGGCAAAATATCTGGTATAACTAACGTCCATTTCTCTTCTATCTCTTCCGCCTTTTTACGTTCCTCCGCCAATGTTTCGGTAAGTTTTTCCATTTTCTCTACCTCCTCATTGTGTTTCTTTTGTAACTCTTCCAATGTCAGCTTGGCCGAAAATGGATTCCTCTCCAAAAATGCTTTAATTAATTGTACTGCATGCTTGCGCACCGAGGAAGTACGATCTTCTAAACGTTCCACTGCCTCCGATAGTACTTTCAATTGAAAAGATAAAGGCACTGCCTGTTCCTCCTTCATGTGATGCCAAATTTGCAAAACCTTGGAACGCACATGAGCCGATACGTCATTGATGTGCATTAAAAGATTTTCCAAAAATTCATTACGTGCCTCCTTCAGCTCCTCGGAAAGTTCCTCAGATGTTAATTCACCCACAATTGCATCACCCATAATTTGTAAAATACAATTTCTCAATAAATAGGATTCACAATTCAGCAATTCATCACATAGCGTGGATATATGGGGTATCATCAGCTTCGGAGCCACTGAGGCTGAATGCATTAGGAAATTAGAGAAATTCCTTGAAACATTTGAATCTGCCGAGTCCAATGTTAAACATTCTACAATTTCCTTTATCAGCACAGAGAAGACGCTCGTTATGTTGTACTCCTCATGCAAGATATTGATGCCATTGGCAATGGAAACAGCTGCATGCTCTACCGTCCTAAGGATTTGCAGTATACGTACTGGAAAATTCATAGCATGTTGATAACGTTTAATTGCTGTGCCGAAAATTTGAAAAACTGTCTCAACAATGTGACGATTGTCGGGACGGACATGTAACATTTCCAAAGTACGATAACAAATGTCACAAATTAAACTAAAGAAAAAAAGTAAACAAGAAACCCAACTATGAAACACAAAGGGAAACAAAATGATAATGTAATCCTTAACACTTACTTCACAAAATTCTCCTCGGCCATGGGCGGACTCCATAGTTTCTCTAATGGAAATTGCAGAACATTGTATAACTGTACCAAAAACTTGCCCCTTTTGTTTTCCCAATCAGGATACTGTTCTACTGTATCGGCATTTTTCCCTCGCTTCTTTTGCTGATTGGTCTGTTGTTGCTGTTGCAAACGCAAAATATTGCTGTCGATTTTCCTCACCACATTCACAATTAAAAACATACACATCTTGGTTAGATTTAGATGGGCATTGCGTTCTTGATTTGTCGGTGGCTCACTGACGGCCAGGAAGGGCGCCAAACGATTTCCCAGCTTGTCAATAGTCAAATACAGCAAATCAAAGCTACGCATCAGATTTGTCATAGCCGCAGAATCAGTGTTCTTATTTTCAATTACAGCATAAAAGGTGTCGAAATGATCGAATATATAGAAAGGATCACCTTGATATAGCATTTGCTTGCAAACTGTTGGTAGAAAGAAAGAATCCATTTGGCGGGCATTAGTTAAATCTTCAAAAATTACAACAATCACTCTCACGTACCTTTTAATTTTTCCGGAATTTCTGATGGACTATACAATTGCTTAACATAATAATTATCTCCACTGGAATTCAATAAATCTCCAGAGGTAAGAGGCAAATTAAATTGAAAATCCATTTTGTTTATTTGTAAATATTTTTAGGAAAATAAAATGATTCTTGAGAAATATATTGCTCGTAGCTTGTTATTAGTGTAGTAGCCGTGAAATTTCAGTTGATTGATATGAAACTATGACTGACGCTACAACACAGGGTTGCAAAGATGCCGTGTAACAACGGCCGAAACAATGTTTGTGGCATTATGACTTTTCACCCATATTGACTTTACTCACAAATGTAAGTGGCGAATAGTTACGAAAACATAATAAAGATGGCGGTAATGATGATGATGGCGCTTCTGTGTTACAATAATTCACAAAGTAGGCCATAAAAATTCCGTCAATACAATTTGAATACACATACCATGGTAGAAAAATATAGGTAGATGCATCAAAGCTTGAGAGCATTGATATGTCAAAATTTTTTTAATTTATTTTCAAATATAAGTAGCTTTTTATATGTTTTCTTATACGACGTCATTCGGAGGTTATTATAAAATGCCTTTTTCAACAATTTTTACAAATTTAAAAAATTTTCATTCAACATTTTCAATTCCAAAATTGGTTTGACATTTCATTGTCTCAGCAGCTGCGTCGATACGTCTACCTATATTCTTCTACCATGACACATACCCATGGCAAAACCAGGAAGGCAGTCCAAATTCAAAGAAACTATGAAAAATTCAACTCTGTCCTGGATTCTTGTTTTTGTTAACTCTTCAACTTTTTCATAAAATATTTATGATTTGCATTTTTAATTTAGGAGAACAACAAAATATATGTTTGTGGTTATTTCACACAACTGAAATGGCAACTCTATACTTGAGTATTATTGTGTCAAATAGACAAATCAGTCGCTATTCAACTTTTGTTGACGATAGACTTTTTCGCGCCGGTCGCAACCAAGACTTTTTTGCTTTGTCTTTTGTTTACTCACACATACACACACACTGCAGTAACATTTTCATACAAAACAAATCGTTTTTTGGTTTCTTTTTATATTATTGAAACAATTTCTTTTTCTGAAGAAAAGTGTTTTTCCAACTCACCGGATGGATGACGAGGACCCACCTCCTCGTTTTTTGCCGAGGAGGAAATATGAGGCTGGAAGTAACCCGGACAGCAAGAAGTTTAAAAATCTTCAAACACCAACAACAATAAAAAACAAAATGGTTTTTGTTTCGGAAACGAGTTCACCAACACCAACAACATCTACAGCTGCACAAGTTACTGAAGACACCAGTCATCAAAACAATGATACAAATGAAATTATTTCTAAAAATACTAATAACCCCACTACCAATTATCCCAATACCATTATTTCCAACACAAATAGATCCAATCCCAATAATCCAAACAATAGCGCCAACACCGATAAATCCATCATTTCACAATCCATTCATCCCAACAACTCACACTCCAACCATCCCACTCCCATAGCGGCCACAACTAACACCAATCAAGAAGATTTTCACAACTACAAAACATATCAAAATACACAGATTCTCTACAACAAACTGCATCCTGGTCCTTTTTATGTATTAGTTAAGACTGATGAACCCATCAGCTCAAAGAGGAAAAATTCTGAGCTTCATTTATATGCAAAGCTAACTAATGCAAACATAAATTATCATTTTGTTTCAAAAAACATAGCATACAAGACTTTCCGTTTAACTTTCAACAACAGCGATTCAGCGAATAGTTTTGTTTTGGATTCGAAAGTAAAGCAAATTGGCCTTAATGCATTTATACCGGATACATTTGTGCAAAAATTTTATGTTGTAAAATCGGTACCTACTTTTTTCAGCGGCAAAATGATCATAGATCAAATCAATAACAGCGATAATGATTTTAAAGCGGTGTCTGTATACCGTTTCAATTATAAGAACGAAAATGGACAATACGTCCCATCACAAACAATTAAAATAGGAATTGTAGCGAACTTCATGGTAAAACAAATACGAATGTTCAATTGTTTAGCTGAATGTGAATTGTATACCCCACCTACACGTCTTTGCAAAAACTGCGGCCGTCTGGGCCACATAGCAATTAGATGTCGATCATATAAAAGATGTCTTCACTGTGGAAGGAAGATAGATTGTCCTAATAATTGTGGCGAATTAAAATGCGACTTTTGTCTCTCAACCACTAAATGCAATAACTTTTGTTCTATGCCCAGATGTATTTTATGTAACGACGATAAACATAATGCCATGGAATCAAAAAAATGTCCCAAGTACACCGAGGAAAAAAATATTAGGGAGGCTATGGCTATCTCAAATTTGTCCAGAAATGAAATTATTCGCAAAAGCAAGCCCAATTATTATGCAATTTTTGATGACCCACAATATGAGAACGATTTTCCTTTGATTTCTACAATGACTAAGCCTGTACGCAAATCACTGGATGAGGAGCTAAATCGGAAATTAACAAAAACTAAATATAGTAAAGTGGTATCTTCGGTTCCGAAACGGATCCACGTAACAGGAGACGAAGAAAATATAACTCCCAGCAAACCATCATATGATTTTAGAAATTTTTCTAAAGTTACGGAATATGAAAAAATGATATCATCTTTTACAAATCAAATGGCAATTATTTTATCAGAGGCCAATTGCAGTGAAGGATTAGACATGTTAAACTGTTTTGCAAGTGCACTAAAGATAGCTTCAGAAGGAAACTCTGAAGTTCCCCCAAATAAAAACAATGAAAATTTTGCAGTACAACATTCAAAGTCTTAGTAAAAACAAAAACTATCTCGAATTATACATAAATAATTTATCAGTGGACATCTGTATACTAAGTGAAATTTTTAATGTCAACGAAAAAAATAACAACTCTTTCCTAAGGAATTACAATTTGATTTGCAAAAAACGAAGCGATAATTATGGTGGTGTAGCCTTTTTACATAAGAACAATATTTTTATGAAAAAAATCTCTTTCAATACGGATTTGGACATTTTGGTCTGTGAAACCACTAATCTATGCCCCAATTTCACCTTCGTATCAGTATATTTTCCTCATTCTGTTAAATCCAATCATTTAAAGAGAGAATTATCTAAACTTTTTACACTGCTTGAAGGAAAACCAAACGTGTTCATAGCTGGAGATTTTAATGCAAGATGCAGAGATTACGGAGATATCTTTGACACTGTTCGTGGTTCGACTGTGAAAACTTTGTTTGATGGTTCAATATTCCGATGCATTAATGATGGTTCTGCAACTTTCAAGAAAAATTTGTATGACAATTCTCCTGGTTCTGTCCTGGATCTCACTTTTACTAACTCGGCATACCATTTTACATGGAAGGTGCAAAACATTACTATCGGTGGTAGTCATCATAAGCCAATACTACTAGATATTAGTAATATTAAACATAAAGAAAAAACCTTTCTTGCAAAAAAACACCTTTTGAATAATATATGCAATCTTCATATAGGAACGGATATGCATACAATACAATCAGAGTTAAGTCATCAAGTAAAGAATTCTACTTTTGCTATTGGACCGAAAACAAAATTCAATTCATGGTGGAACGAGGATCTAAAAAGATTACTTCGTCTCAAAGATGCCGCTGAGAAAAAGTTCGAAAGCTATAAAAATACTGAAAATGCCTTAAATGCTATAGAAGCTAAAAATAATTTCAGAAATGCCGTTAAAAAAGCCAAAGCCCTTGCACAAGTTTCCAAAATCAATGAGTTAAACACCATCTCAAACTCAAAGTCTCTTTTCCGCTACATCAAGGGATGTAAGTCCTTTTTTGAAAATCAAACTCATTCAAAGTGGTGTTCCGACAACAATATCGTCTTTCTACAACATTTGAAGGACCAAGTTCCAAATAACAATCAAAATATTTTCAATGACGAATACTTAAAAAAATCCGATGTTTTTTCATTTGCAGAGCTACAAAAAGTTCTTGATATGAAGAAGAAGCCATCTGCAGCTGGCCTGGATGGCATAACATATGAAATGGTAAATAATCTTTCCATACAATCCAAACACCATCTTTTAGTCGCATATAATAAATTATGGAGAAACTGCAATTATCTTGATGAATGGAGAGAAATCAAAATTGTGCCCATTCCCAAAAAAGACAAAGATCTGGATATTCCAACTAATTTCAGGCCAATTGCCTTGATTTCTGTTTTTGCAAAAATAATAAATCTAATGGTAAAGCAACGCCTAAATCTCTATATTGATGATAACAAATTGCTTCCACATAGATCATATGCCTATAGGAAACACGTATCTACATCAACATGCATCAACGACATTCTTCACACAATAAACTTTCACAAGGAAAGAAATGAGAAAGTTGTTATACTATCAATGGATGTATCTAAGGCCTATGAATGTGTAGACATCAGCTGTCTACGAATGATCTTGCAACAATTGGATATTCCCGAGCAAATCAGAACTTGGATCCTAAACTTTCTATGCAAAAGAACACTCAGAATGGGAAACTCCCTGCTAAATATTTACAATGGCATTCCTCAAGGAAGTTGTTTAAGCCCAACTCTGTTTAATTTATACACACTAGGCCTGCATGGTATTTCAGATGGGAACACTAATCTTTTTCAATACGCTGATGACTTCATTCTATTAGTTCACGACTTCGACTTTGATCTGGCAAATAGAATTTTACAAAAAAAAGCAAGTAATTTCGTCAACTTACTTATGAAATTAAACCTTAGCGTCAATATAGAAAAAACAGCTGTTATGTATGTTGCCAAAGGAGGCCGTAAGAAACCTCATGTCATGATCAATGGAAACCAGGTTAAAGTTGTAACATCCATAAAATTTTTGGGTAGACACATTAAAAACAGTCTGTCCTTGAAAGAACATTACGATGAGGTGATACTATCTTGCAAAAACACTTTAAACGCTCTAAAGATGGTAACTGGCCCAAAGAAAGGATTACATCCAGCAAAAGCAGTAAATTTAAGTAAATCTCTGATTTTTTCCAAGACAGAATATGCAATATCATCAATGGCTCACAGACCAGCATACATAAATAAAAAATTAACTTCTTTTCAAAATCAACTTTTAAGAAGAAACTTGGGACTGGTGCCATCAACGCCAAATCATGTTGTATGTGCTCTCGCTGGTATTCTTCCAACGGATTTAAGAGCCCGACAGCTTGCGGCTAAAGAGTTGTTAAGATTAAAAATTTATAATCTTTCTCTATATGATTACTTCACAACGAACTCATCTCAGAAAACGAGCATTGGATACGTCTACAACAATTTCAAAAACATATTTGATAAAACAAGAATTGGTTACAACGTAAAATCGTCAAAAATTGAGACAAAACTAAACATTTTTAATTTCTCAAAAAATGATGTTGCTTCTGAGTGCATACAATCTCATTTTCGCAAAATGTTTAACGAGCTAAAATCTCAAGGGGTTTCCATTTGGGCAACAGATGCCTCGGTAACAAATAATAACACAGGATGCGCTGTCTGTAACATATCCTCAAGTCAGAACTTCTTATTTAAAATCGAAGAAAAGTTATCTTCTCTAGCTGGAGAACTACGAGCTATAGAAAAAGCTATAGATATAATAATTGAAGACGGAATCAGCATGGCTGCGATCTTCACAGACAGTAAAAATGCGTGTCTTCTTTTACAAGATAACTCCTCCAACAATTACACCACATACAACATAATACAAAAAATTAATAACTCATCTATATGCAAAGTGACTTTTATTTGGGTTCCATCACATGTTGGAATTTCCTTAAATGAAACTGCCGATTTCTATGCAAAACAAGCTACGGAAGCTGGATGTGTTATACCATACGAACTCTCGGTCACAGATGCAATCCAAAAGATTGAAGCAAATCTCTGGAACGATTTTGTTGAACGTTTCAAAGAAACTTCTCTGCACAAAGGATCTTATTTCTTCCGCTTCTTCCCAAATCCTCCCAAACAACCATGGTATAAAAACTCTAGCATGAAACCTGAAAACATAAAAATCATTAATAGACTTTTTACTGGACATACATATACCAAAAAATATTTTCACCGTGTTGGTATTTCCAACTCCAGTTTATGCGAGACCTGCAATGTGATCGAGGATGAAAATCACATTATCTTCCACTGCAAGAAATTTAATAGAGAAAGAAATGAACACAACCTTTTTAAAACACACAATAACTTACCGGATGTCCTCATGGCCAAAGATTTTCAACTCATAGATGATCTCCTGAATTTCATTAGCAAATGTAAAATTGTTTTATGAAATCAATTAATCTTTTTATCCTGTCAAAATCAAAATATTGCTTTTCTTGTTTTGTTTTGCTACACTCCTTTCAAAAAAAAAAAAAAACAAAAGCTTTGTTTATACGTATATTCATGTATACTTAGATGCACTAACACATATGTATCCTCATGTAAAAAGAAGAGAAATAAAGAGAGTACTTTTATATGGTTTCAAGTAACCAACAACTAGCACTGGTGAATGAACACTTCGTGTTCCACCAACACACTTGACAACGTATGAAGTACAAAAAAAAAAAAAAAAAAAAAAAAAAATAGACAAATAATTAGATTTGTTTATTTTAATGTTTTTATAAAATTCTTATTTTGAAGAAAAATAACAACACATGAACACAACACACAAAATTGAATCCAAGAGAGAGGGACAATATTGTTTTATCTAAAAATCATTCATTTTTTGGAATTTCGGGGTTTTCCACAAGATTGAATCTAAAATAGTAGCGCAATACAGTTTTATCCCAAAAATATACAGTGTATTGCCCATCAATGCTGAAAATTATTTTATTTTTTATTATAACAATACACACACTTACACAAAATGTATATATGTTTTGACATAATATGGCCACTAAATTAAGAAAAGTGTATTTAGGGGGTAGATTTGTTCTACCTTTTTTCCAAATATAAGAATTTGGTAGAATGAAGAAGGTAAAGTCATGTAATCATATGTTCACATTTTTCCAAATTATTCATTTGACAACATCTGATTGTCAATATTTTGCTTGTAAATACATTATACATACACAAATCAGAAATGGTAACTTGCTTTCTATGCAGTGAAATTTGACAAGTTAAATTACAGAAAATGCAAAGATGGGAATGCTTATTTGAAATGACTTAACCTTTTTAATTTTACCATGCATTTTGTTAAAAAAAAGATGGTTAATATCTACAATGCTCAATTTCATTTCTTCCAATCATGGGTTAAAAAAAATATTTTGTTTTTATTTTTTAAACAATAAATACATACACAAATTTGGCAGAAGTAAAATATGTAATCAGCTGGTAGCTCTTCTTTATTGTACCATGCAACCAAAAATGCAGCAATTGATATTGTTTATTTTAGTTTTTTTTTTTACATCAAATTTCGAATAATTTTGTATTGTTGTTTTTTCTTCAAATTTCAAAGTTAATTGACCTGCCATTCCTTATAATTATTGTTTTATGTATGGGCTTTTCGTATTTGGTTAATGGGCAGTACGAAACATTTTACCTTAAAATTAATGTTTTTATGACAATTTTTGTACGGCGCGAGGCGTATTAGCAAGGCCTGTTTAAAGTACGTTTACGATCATTAGACTCCTTAATAGTCGACCTTTGCATCCCTATATTAATCAGCCGTTTTGTTTTTATTCCACATCTTTCTTCTCTGTGCTTTTGCGATGACATTTGGATTTGTTTTCATTTCTGAAAACGCTACACGTGCATTGCATTCATCCTCCTTCAAACCAATTGAATCGTCAAGTTTTGAATAAAATAACGAAATAGTTTAAACAAATCTTTTAAAAACAATGTCCGATGAAGTGACCAATAATCCTGCTGCGCCACCCTTTAAGCGAAATAAGAAAAAGAAGAAAAATGCTCGATTCCTTCGTAATGCCAAGGGTTTTGCTAAGCAGGGCATATTCGGAAGAGGAACACATATCGACGATGACCAATACAACTATTTCATCAACATTCTAGATACTATGAAACTTGGTTTTGAAGATGTAGAGGAAAAAGGTGAGTCCATTGATTTCATAACTGTCAATTGATTTTATTAACGAAACTCTTCCTCAGTTATGATGGCCAATAATGTCTTTGAACAGTCGAAGGGAATCGAAGTACATTTGGCCTCGAATCAAATTGTATGTAAAGTATTGGAATCTTTATGTGGATTTGTGGAACCTGCCCAGTTGGAATCATATTTTCAAGCATTCGCTGACAACTTTCGTCCCATTTGCTCGGATCGCTTTGCTTCACATGTGTTACAGAAAATGGTGGAAATTGCCTTCCTGAGATGTGTTAAAAACGAGAAGGCAAAAAGTGCTAAACTCGATGAAGAGGACGAAGATGAAGCTGAGCATGGTCCACCAAGTAATAAGAAAACGAAAATGTCTCAAAGTGTTGCTAGCGAAGAGCGATACAACTTGGATACTGATTTTCCCGAAGAACACAAACAAAATTGTGCAAATTTTGTGTTAAGAGTGGGCAAATTTATGTTGAATAATTTAGAAGATTTCGTTTGGGATTCCTGTGCCAGTCACATAATGCGCACATGTATTCTATGTCTCTCGGGAGTCCATGTACCCAAAGTTGCCTTTGAGAAAGGAGGAGCTTCAATGGCACAAGAACGTAAGGTATATGAAGTTTCCGAAGAGTTCCATGAAGTTGCCAAGGAATTTGCCCAACGTTTAGAAATGTGGCCACAATTTCCTGACTTTCCATATGATGAGCATTCATCGGCCCTACTGAGTGTATTGTGCGTAGCTCTAAAGGCCATTGATAAAAACATGTTAAAACATTTTGGTAAAAAGATTTTGATGGAAGCACTGCTTAAAGTGGACGAAAATGGAGATGATAAGAAAATCGAAATATTGGACGATGAAGAAGAACAAAAAGCAAAGGAAGGTGAATCGGAGAACACAGCAGAACAATCCAGTGTACCAACGCCCAAATTGCCAAATGTATTTCTTTATCAAAGTTCTGTTAGATTATTGGAGACACTGATAACGGTGGCTGGTCCCAAACTTTTAACTCAGCTATATGCCATGCTATTCACCAGTAAATTGGCCATATTGGCTAAAGAACATATGACACATTTTTCTGTGAAAAAACTACTGGACAATATGAAGGAAAAGGAAGATTTCGAAAATGTTTTCCAAGAACTACATGAGCACACCGAGGAATTACTGAAAATCGGCCATACAGCCATAATATATGGCCTCTCATCGGCCTGTCTACGTCTTCAAACCAAACAAGGACAGTTTATTTCCGCTTTACAACAGGCATTGCATGTCAACGCCGACAAAGAGAAAATGAAATCGTTCTTCTTGTGTTTGATAAAGTTGAAACCATTTGAAATATTACAAGAGGATAAATCGAATTTTGTCCATTTACACGGTTCCCTGATAATACAAGATATTTTGCGGTTTAACAAACCCATTTTCCTTGTGAATTGCATATTGGAAACATCGTCTGAGTACTTGGTGTCTGTATTCAACACACCCAATGGTTCGCATATCTGTGATGCATTTTTACAAAGTAAATTTATTGGTGAGAAATCACGTGAAAAGTTAATCAAACATTTGGAAGGCTATTATGTGGATTTGGCCATAACGAAATTTGGCTCCCGCGTTGTTGAGTCATGTTTTGCGGCAGCATTGGAGCCACAAAAGGCGAAAATTGTCAAGGAGTTGGCGGAGAAATCAAATATGTTGAAAGGATCTCCATTTGGAAAATTAGTTAGTGCCAAATTACGAGTAGACACATATCGTCTATCGGCTGAGCAGTGGAAGGCAAGTCTAAAGAAAAAGGAATCAAAAGCTCAAGAACTATTTAAAGATATAATAAATTGATATGTTGACAAAAACAAGTTTAATGAGTTGTTTTATTAGCTTTACAAATTTCCCATGCTCTCAGAATTAAAATTTATGATGTGAAACATCTAAACGAAATTATAATTTTTGGCTGCAAGATTCTATCAAATACGACTTCTGATTCGTGTTTTCTATAAAAAGGAGATTTGAGTAGGAATTAAAAATTAGATAAACATAGGCCTACTGCGGAAATGAATGTCCAAAGATCACTGTGTCGTTACATTCCTACACAAAATGGAACCAGAATTTGTTTATTATTTCCGATTCTGCGCAGTAATGACATTGACCCCCAACAAATGTCGTTCAACATATGATTCAGAAACTTAAAATTTCAAGTTCACTTGCTGAGGCTTTAAGCCAACAATATTGGTCTACCTCAACTACACGCACCATTCATTGCCTTTAGTCGAATTCGAAACGTAAATAAAGCATTAGCATCTGCTTATCTCTGGAAGTACGTGAAACAATCTCCTTATCTCTAGAAAATATATTTTCAAAAAAGGTCAGTCGGTGTGGGGCCAATGATTGCATTAATATTTTAGCTTAAATATCATGTAATTATTCGATTTCAATTCAGTTTCCAAAGCTTGATGAGACAACGAAAACACCGAACAAAATGTTGCGGGCAAAAGTTTTAATTATTTCTCTTTTTGTGATGCTATTTGCATCATACATAACATGCTTCAGTGAAGAATCAATATTTGAGGATGAAGATATTTATCGCATGGCATTGCCGCCTCCAAATGCCACTGGAACCACTGTACCGGGTACCAAATGGTGTGGTCCCGGCAATACAGCTGCCAATTATAATGATTTGGGTAAACATCGCGACACGGATACATGCTGTCGTGAACACGATCATTGTGAAATGATAATTGAACCCACCGCCTCATTGCATGGCATTACAAATAGTGGCATGTTTCCCATGTAAGTATATCGCTTTGGAAAAATAGAAATATCCTTTAATTTATAACTGCCATCATTCATTTTTAGTATGAAATGTTCCTGCGAACAGAAATTCATCAACTGTTTGCAAGCCGTCAACAGTATGGTGTCAAATACTTTGGGTCACATCTATTTTGGTGCCACCAAACAGTGTGTAGAATATGGTTTTCCCATTGTTAATTGCAAACAATATATGGAGGGTACATTCCGAAAACGTTGTATTCGCTATAAGATCAATAAGAAACGTCCACAAATATGGCAATTATACGATATACCATTCTATACAACAAGTAGTGTCAATAAGCCGAAATAAGCATGAAAAAAATACAGAGATTCTTCAGAAGAGTAGTCAGTAGTAACTTTACTTACCGGGAACATAAATATAATAGAAAATTGTTAAGATTTAATAAAAATTGTTGAAATTCTAAAAAAATAATTTAAAATAAATAACTTAGGTCCAATCTTATGAGTTTTCTTTAAGAAGTGTAGTATGGCCCCAAAAAATCCAGTTCATTGTGGAATCCTTAGCCTGGCATGTGCCTTTTATTTGGCATCTTTACCCATCATCTAAGTCAACCCTTTGGTATGAGATATTGTAAATGAACGGAATCCGGAATTTGGAACAAATTTGGAAATTTTCCTAAAATAAAAAGTGGAATCCGTTAAAATCTTAAAAATACCGAATACAGGGAGTTACCGTTCTTTTGCGGTAAATAAGAAGACCTTGACCTGAATAGACAATTTTATGTCATGGACTGTAGTACCCATTAGGAACTACGAAATTTGAAACAATTCCGGAGAATAATGTCGCAGAAATCAGAAAAATGTCGTAAAGAGGGAGGCACCGTTATATGGGGGATATACGAAAACCTGGACCTGAATAGACAATTTTCGGTCACAGGTTGTATTACCCGTTACGAACTGCAAATACGAAATTTGAAACAATTCCGGTTACAAATGCCGCTAAAATCATCAAAATACCGAATATAGGGAGATACAGTTATATGAGGTCTTTACCAAAACGTGGACCTATATACCTCATTTTTAATACAAAAAGACCTGCAGACGAAAAACACATTTGAGTGAATTTTTATATCAACCTCGTTCGGAAACTAGAATGATTTCCATGGGCGGTTTTTTTTCAAATGTATATTTCGAAGTGTTACAAACGGAATGATAAACTTAATAGACCCCCTATATAATGTGGAGGGTATTAAAAATTATTCGTTTCATCAACATGTGACTCCAAAATTAGAATTTGCATCGTAATTTTTTAATTCTAATGTAATGAATTTTAACAAGCCACTGTACCGAATCGAACCGAACCAATACCACAGTTTGAGCCGCCACAAAACCCTTTGAAAAACAGAACCAACCCAAATCGACAATTGGTTTGAAGTCCCGGAAAAAATCTCTAATTTTTAGAGATTTTTTTATAGTGGGACCTGGAACTATCTATTCGATATAGGCAAATTTATAGCGAAGTGGATTATGTATGTCAATATTCTTCTTGAATCCTGTGATATAAGTCTTTGAACCTGTGCAATCTGGATCTGTTTAGTTCGCTGAAATGCTGCTTTGAATACAAAAGACTTATGTTCCCGAAGCCGGTATTGGACATAATCAGAGGAAAATTCGCAGGCTGTCTAAATAGAGGGATAAACATTTTGGAAAAAAGAATTTAATTATTAAAAATCAATGGTTGCTCAACTCGTATATTTGGATTCAGGAACGATGATAACACATATTTCAAAACTCATTAGAGAGTTAGTTATTAACTGGCATTTTTCTCCACCATTTGGGGGTTTTATTAAAATGCGGTTCCAAAAAATCTATCACTTCGACATAACTTCTGAAGTAGTAGAAATAGAGAACGCTATATTTGTATGCGTTCCCTGTCAAATGTAAAAATATTATTATATTGCAGGTAATGTAAAACAACTAATAACATAGCTATATTACATGTACATGCCAAAGTAATTTAGCCCGAAAAACGCAGTTTAGTGGCCAGAGTATGGACATTTGGATTTTTTAGGTCTATATACCTATAATCAAACTATTACAAATAAACTATATGTTTTATTATTTTCTTCTGCTAATTTCGTTTATTAAATCTATAAATAAAAACGCACATGTATAAAATGTCTTATATACATAATTTGTTCCTTTAAAATACTAAAAAAATACTACAATACTAAAAAACAGACTTATATGTCAAATAATAATTTAAAAACACTTTATATAAATATTTATAATTCCAACTATTTCCATTTTAAATGAAATGTTAATTTTCGCAAATGTATACTTGTTTTAAACACAAAATCCCACAATGGATTTGAAACACCATAACCCAAATCTTGATGGGCAAAATGATGTTGATAATGATAACGTTTCATAAAATATAATTGCTTAAGACTAGGATTTCCGTAATGTAGATAGTAGTGTATCATATCATAACCCAGATAACCCAACAGACTTCCTGCCAACAGAACTCTGGGTTGGGGGAAAATCAACGATAAGGGTGTATAAAAGAATAGACACAGTATGACAGCTGGTAGCGGTGGGAATACCAAACGCATCGGATCGAAGGGAACTTTATGATGTAGACCGTGAATCATAAAATGGAATGTACACAGCCAGGGGCTGGGGTTTCCAACCATTTGCATGTGAAATACATGGCGATGTAAGACATATTCTAACAGTGTCCATAGCAATATTCCCATAACAAAGTACAATGATAAAAATGTTATCTGAAATGATAAGAATATGAGAATGTCGAACATTTGGAAATATGTTGTTTTGTTTTTTCATTACAAAAATTTATAATTACCTTTAATATGTCACGATTAGCAAAGGGTTCTTGGAATTGATTATAAATTAAAGCTGTTATGACAGGTATCCAAAATGCCGGCACCACCCACCATGGTGTCTTTGTGCACATTTCCAAATACCAAGGACCAAATAAACGTAACGGCCTGTCAACAGGTTTATGGACCCATTCATTGTAGTAGGGAGTGATCTTGGCGATTTGTGGTAACATAGCCTGTGACCAGTCCACTAAATGCTGCAATAGAAAATTTTATAATATATTTTGAATTAATATTCAATAATTTATACCACATTCTTCTTGATTAATTATTTGGTTAGTTAAATTGAAATATATTTCTACAAAATGTCGTGAAATTGTTTTGATGAAGCTATTTATCACCAACCAATGAGCCAGTGCAAATTAAAATACTAAAATTTATAAAAATATGTCATTTTCTATTTTCTAACAACAGCGAGTTTTGCTCTATTTCAGAACCTGCAAGAATCTACTCTTTTTGCAAATCATAAAGGGAAAATCGAAGCAAAAACCTTTTTATTCTTACAGTTCTTGATCAGAACATTTGGTAATTCTTACAAAAGATATTTCTGCCTGTAAAATCCAGCAGATCTAAGTAACACAACTGCAAAAAGTTCTGGATATATTCAATACAATCTAGTAACAATTATTACTAGTCGTACGATTCATTTTGCAGCACTCGTCTAATGTAACGGAAACGTTCAACGTCAGCCGCCACAATTGTGTGTGTTGTGTTCAACGCCTGAAGTAAAAAAGGTAAACAAACGAATACAACACTGCGCCGTTAACAAACAAAAACAAGTGCGAGCTGTCAACTACTTTGAAGGTATTATTTGAAAATTGTTTACATTTGCGTTTGCGTTTAATAAATGTTTTTACACATACTTTCTATAATATATATAATTAATTAGAAAAGGTCATTTTTGTTCGTCCAGCGTTAGCGTCACTAGACATGCAAACACCATGCGGTTCCATGAGAACCCTGAAGGGAATATTTCAGGAGCCAAGTAAGTGGTTGCCAATAGCAATATGAAAAAAGCATATGTACATTTTCCATTCATTTGAATTAAATACTTTTTTTTTACAGAAATGAACCACAGACGTGATTTTTTACGTGAAAATAAATTAAATTTACGTGAGCTACAGAAGAATACAACCAACAAACTTGTACAGAAACAACAGGATCTGGAGAGGAAGCAACAAAAATACCTACACAGACGTTCAGATTCTCAACAAAGATATGAAAGTACAGGACGAACAGGATATACTTCATCCACAAGAATGACGGCTGATAGGGGTGCAGGTGCAGTGGTTACACCGTGTAATGGAGGCACAAAACAGAATGGAATAAGGGGTAGGCCAGAGGAAGGAATGAGACAGAAGCAATTGTCCTTTCGACGTTCGTATAGTCAACAAAGGGTAGGGGAACAAATAAATCCATATGAAAGAAACGCAGGAGAGCATTACAAGGCCGACAATAGAAACACTGTGCCTCGCAGTGCCAGTGTGGTGTCTTTCGTTTCCAAAGCTGAATCATGTGATAAAGAAATACAAACTGAGGATATTATCGATGAAGAGTTCCTGTACAGGGCTTTAAAAAAGTAAAGATGGCAGTCTGCAAAAATTACTTTTTTTAATTGATGTTTTCTACTTTTTTCAGATGTAGTAACACGGAAGTTGATTATTGTAATAATCGCGAAGATGCAAACCCTGTATCGAAAACGAATGCAAACTCTTATTCCGCAAACCCAACTGAAGATGACCTTAAAATAGCATCAGAGCATGTTCCATACGAACATCAAAAATATAACGTTGAAGTGGAAAATCAAAATCGCTATTATCAATATTCACCAAGGTCTCAATATTCACATATGGCCAATGGTCACAACGAGGAAAATTTTGTGGAACAATTTGAAAATTTGCAACTTAACACACATCAACTTCGAGACGAAGAAACCCGTTCAAGTGCCCGCAGTCGTCAAACAATGTTTTCAACTGCCAGTAAGAAAAAATCTAATGGAAACTATAAATTTGGAAGTAGGCCAAAAAATAAATTTCAACATTTTCTCAAGTACTTTCTTTTTATAAAATTAGTTTTATCTTTTAGGTCGTGATGAAATACGTTTACCTAGATATTTAGAGAAAGAAAAACGTGAGAAAGAGGAAGAACGCCAGAGGGAAATTTCAAGAGATCCCAATTGTCCATTGGGTCATTATGCCATAAGTGAAGCAGAACGTTTGGCTGCATTAAATGCTGCTGAGAAAAGTAAAATAATTTATTTTTTTTACTTCTTTATTTTTAATTAATACCAAAAACAACTATTATATATATTTTCATGATATTAATTTCTACAAATTATAATGTTTATTTCTTTATTTTCAAAGAAATGGAATCTCTGATACAAGAACTAAATCGTATGCCCATGACAACTGAAACATTACGAATACGCCGGAGAAAAGTTGAAATAGAAAAGGAACTATCACAAATTGAATTAGATATACGAACATTTTCCAAACCCAAAGTATATGTTCCAGCTAGCAATGAACCTTCCAGTCATCTCTATTGAAATGTAATTGAAAGAGAGCAAAATTAATGGAAGACCCAGACGAATTGATATGCAATCTGTATACACAATTATTAATAGATACCATGTAAATATTTATATGTATATTTTGAGTACATTTTCTTATACAAATATACAAAAAGGCAATATATGTAAATTTCATATATATTTCATACTTATTATTCTCTACCTCACTAACATGAAAAAAGTTGTTAATAAAAGTTTCTGCGATTCGAGTATAAGTTATGCGAATGTAACAGACTTCATGTAAAGGTAAGATATGCGTTGTTGCTATATATAATCCATCTGCTTCCCAATTGGATTCATAGTTAATGGCCATATAGAAGACATTTCATCTTGATTAGCAGGTCCGCAGGCGGATCAAAAATATTCGGAATATTCGGAAACCACTAATATGTCGGTAACCAATTGTTTTTTTTTTCTGTATGTTAGAATTTGGACTATGCCACTATAAAATCTCCCACTTCATAAAAAATTGGTTAAAATATCGAAAGTTTTATTTAAAATATTCAAAAAAGTTTTGCTAGCAACTTTAATATATACTAAATACATTAGTTGTATCATACATCTGCTTATATAACTTTTGTGCAATAATTATTAATTACTGACCCAATTGTATTAAATAAGAGTATTATAGAACCACCAATAAAGTCAAGATAAGATTTTAAAGCCTTTGAAAAACGAACTCACGTAATCATACGTCATCTCACTTTTCGCACCGTCATTGTACCTATTTCATTTCATATATTCGAAAATGAATCATTATAAAAAATAAAACGTGTTGCAAAAAAATTTTAGCTGATTGATTGAAAAGCCCAGTATTTATGTTCCTTATTGATATACAACTTTGATAAATTATAGATTAATCGAGAGTCCCCAATAAAATTAAGAAAGTAACCTTAGACAATCAAATGTCTCACTTTTATAAATTTGACGTCCGAATATATGTTTTTTAAATATGTTTGTATAAATTAAAATGTATACACATATTAGAGGTGGGAACATGTTCTCTATACGATTGAATTTGTCATGGAAAATTGCAGAAAACCCCTAGACGTTCCATATGTTTTTTGCGATTTTTTCTTAAATTAAGTAGCTCTTAAAATGTGTAAAATAAACAGAGTTCGAAAATAAATTAAATCGCTCGAAGGAAGACCTCATAATTGGGCCATGGGGCACAGTTAGAAAAAATGTTATCATGGATACATCCATGGCGCAATAACAAGATGTTCCTGCTAATTTTCAAAACCAAAAAAAAAGCAATTGTGTATTGAATATATGAAAAAATAAATTTCGACAGGATTTTTTTCGTAAAAGAACAAAGGACTATTTTAAATTATGAACCGAAATTGAACTAAGTTCAGTTTGGTTACTCCTTAAAGTGGAAGTACATAAAGAGCTTTTTTGATTGCCATAAGTCATCGGCTGGCTTCTTCGTAAAAGAACAAAAGAGCCTACCTCCGTTCCTCTACGAAGACTAATCGAACGGTTCATATTTAAATAAAAAGAAGAACGATTTATTTGTCCGACAACATGATTTTTTTATCTATCGAAAATATGTAATAACCGGCCATGAAATGCTTTTGTTAACGGCAGGCTCATGGCCTAAGTTTAAAGGCGAGAATACATAAAACACTTTTTTTGCTGTCTTAAATGTGAGAGTACATAAAACACATTTTTGACTGACTTAATTCATTGGCTGGCTTCTTCGGAAAGAAATAAAGTAGCCTAGGGTCAAAATCAAACTAAGTCAACCAAAAAAGGCGTTTTATATATTCTCTTCTTAAGTCATCGGCTGGCTTCTTCAGAGAAGAACACAGTCAAAGTCTTCATGTACTTCCAACTTAAGGTCCTCCTTCCAAGCTCGCTGAGCACCAAATGTAATGTGAAAATGCACTATTGTGATTGAAATCACAAAACAAAAGATAAACAATAGCCAAAAAAGTGTAAACAAATGTTTACATTCCATCTGGTGTCATGTGCATGCTTCTTCGTAAAAGAATAAAGGAGCAAGTATGGGACGAAATTGAACTTAGTCAACCTATAACTCATTTGTTCACTTACTAAGGAGCCAGTCGATGACTTAAAACAGTTATTGTATGTATTCTAACCTCTTTTTATTGTATCAAAATAATACTATAATGTAAACATATTTTTTATAAGTTCCAAAGTACGTAAAAAGATTTATGGGGAAAGGTCTCAAAAATTTGTAATGGATTAAATGGCTTTTTTCTTTAAACGTGTGCGCCTATTTCGCCTTCAATATTATAAACTAACTATCGCATCGTAAACATGATTTTTTATCTCTCCTGATTATAAAGTGCTCACTAACGATAACACCAATTAAAATTCAGGCGATACTGAATGCCGGTATAGAATTTACAAGATTGACATTGTTCTATCTAATCTCAAAACTAAACGGACTACTCGTACATGTACCCCCTTGTCTTAGCAGAGAAATTAAATTTAAATTATAAATATCGCAATAACTTACGACATGAAAGTCAAGTCACATTTCTATGATAGGTTCTAGTGTTCTCAATAAAAACCGATAAGAAGTTTTTCAATAGTAATTAAAAATATAAAAGTGAATCATTCTCCATTAAAGTGGATAGCCCATAGCATGGTAGAAATATAGGAAGGAAATAACAAAACTACAACAAATACAATGTAACAAAAGCCCCATAGAAAATAATGCTAGTTTTAGAGCTATATGTCCAAACATGTAAACAAAACAAATTAATAGTTTAATTTTAAAAATGTATATTTTTAGAATATGAATTATTAAATTGAAATTTTCGAAACGAAGTCCCTAATACTGGGGAGAGTACAGAAAAAGACTTAAATGTGAGAATACATAAAACGCTTTTCTGCACGGCTAAAGTCATCGGCTGGCTTCTTCGTAGAGGAACAAAGCAGTCTTAGGTTGACTTAGTTCGATTTTGGCCCTACACTACTTTGATCTTTTCTAAAGAAGCCAGCCGCTAACTTAATCCAGTCAAAAAAGCTCTTTAAGTGCTTGCACCTTAAGTAATCGGTTGGTTTCTTCGTAGAGGAACAAAATAGTTTCAGGTTGACTTAGTTCGACTTTGGCCCTACGCTCCTTTGTTCCTCTACGAAGAAGCCAACCGATGACTTAAGCCAGTAAAAAAGCGTTTTATGTATTCTTACCTTAATAGTGTTCCAGAACTGCAATAATGTAAAAATTTTTACTATGATAAAATATTTTTCCTTTATGATATCGGAAAAATGCCAAAATAAACAGTTTAAATTCACAAGGTAAAGAACAGAAAATACAGAGCTGGATATATATATTTTTTATATAAGGTTACCTTTACTTAATTTTATCATGAATACATTGCCTATATGATCAGCTGATTTTATCAAAATACATGCATTTGTAAATTAATCGCATGAAAACATGTTAGAAGAATACAGGTAGTCGCATTGACACAGCTGCTGGGACAATGAAGTGTCAAACCAATTTTGGAATTAAAAACGTATATTATCACAACCTCCGACTGGCGTCGTGTGGGAAAACATATAGAAATCGACTTATTTTTGACAAAACATTTTAAAAATTTTGACATATCAATGTTCTCAAGCGTTGATGCATCTACCTGCATTCTTTTACCATGGAATGAAAACGTAAACAAAAATTTGTACAAGCATTTTTTAATCGGAATGGTAGTCCGTGTGTACTCGGCCCATGGCGCAATAATTTCCAAGGTAGCTAAAGTCATGCAAATGTTTACAATTTTTCCAAATTGATACGTATGGCTTGATCTCATTGTATATACACAAATCAGAGATGGAAAACTGTTTTCTATGCAGTGAAATTTAAAAGGGTAAATTACTGAAAATGCTTTTTTGAAGTGACATTACCTTCTTAATTTTACAATGGGTAGGTCATAGATAAAAACATGTATCCCTACAAAACTTACCTCCATACTATCATCCAAATCATTATTATTTGTGTGTTTCTTTGCATTTTCATCGTGATCTTCCTCTTCGACAATTTCAATATTTTCCTTAATCTCTGGCGCATGTCGACGACCATTTCTCCATTTTGGCGGTATTGTCTTTATTTGATATTCTTTCATTAAATACATGGCAGCATCTGAGTGCGGTGGGGCACGCATAAAACGTGCTGTCATATCGGCATTTTCTAAGCCTCTCAGGGTATTGATGCCACCCGGATGTTTATGCAGGAATCTTGTAATGTCGTAGAAATTTTTACGATATTTCACAATAATTTTGGATTTTTGTTCATCTGTAGTTCTGTCGGCGATATCATCGACAGGGGCTGATTGTGTTTGATGATTGGCATTTTCGGAATTTGGTGGCATTTTTATAATACTCAAGAAATTGTTATATTAAACTGTAAACGAGAGAAATTAAAAAAGTTTTATTAATTATAAAATATAATTATATAAATGTAGAGGCCTTCGAAAGGACGTATTAATTAATGAAACTATTGGTCTGTTCCATAGCTGCAAGAATGTAAATGTTTTTACTACAATAACCGATTTTACCTTTATCATATCGAAAAAAATTGCAAAAATATAGATTCTTGCAGGTTCTGTAACAGAGTAATTGTTAGATATTGGTGTCTTTCTAAAAAGTTTGGTAGTAAGGAAAATAATCAATGCAGTATGTATGTTTTAGTAAAATACAACTCTGATTCAAAACAATTCGCCTTGTGTAAACAGCAGGTTAGTTTTAAACAAAACTTTTTAACAGACCTTGACCTCAGATAAACGAAGGAAGTTAAAACCAGTCTTGTTTATGTCAGGATTATATTTCATACCAGTTGATTAATTATTTTACTATGAGTTGTTTATTTTATTTATCTGTACATTTATATTTATTTTCTAACAACAGCGAGTTTTGCTCTATTTCAGAACCTGCAAGAATCTACTCTTTTTGCAAATCATAAAGGGAAAATCGAAGCAAAAACCTTTTTATTCTTACAGTTCTTGATCAGAACATTTGGTAATTCTTACAAAAGATATTTCTGCCTGTAAAATCCAGCAGATCTAAGTAACACAACTGCAAAAAGTTCTGGATATATTCAATACAATCTAGTAACAATTATTACTAGTCGTACGATTCATTTTGCAGCACTCGTCTAATGTAACGGAAACGTTCAACGTCAGCCGCCACAATTGTGTGTGTTGTGTTCAACGCCTGAAGTAAAAAAGGTAAACAAACGAATACAACACTGCGCCGTTAACAAACAAAAACAAGTGCGAGCTGTCAACTACTTTGAAGGTATTATTTGAAAATTGTTTACATTTGCGTTTGCGTTTAATAAATGTTTTTACACATACTTTCTATAATATATATAATTAATTAGAAAAGGTCATTTTTGTTCGTCCAGCGTTAGCGTCACTAGACATGCAAACACCATGCGGTTCCATGAGAACCCTGAAGGGAATATTTCAGGAGCCAAGTAAGTGGTTGCCAATAGCAATATGAAAAAAGCATATGTACATTTTCCATTCATTTGAATTAAATACTTTTTTTTTACAGAAATGAACCACAGACGTGATTTTTTACGTGAAAATAAATTAAATTTACGTGAGCTACAGAAGAATACAACCAACAAACTTGTACAGAAACAACAGGATCTGGAGAGGAAGCAACAAAAATACCTACACAGACGTTCAGATTCTCAACAAAGATATGAAAGTACAGGACGAACAGGATATACTTCATCCACAAGAATGACGGCTGATAGGGGTGCAGGTGCAGTGGTTACACCGTGTAATGGAGGCACAAAACAGAATGGAATAAGGGGTAGGCCAGAGGAAGGAATGAGACAGAAGCAATTGTCCTTTCGACGTTCGTATAGTCAACAAAGGGTAGGGGAACAAATAAATCCATATGAAAGAAACGCAGGAGAGCATTACAAGGCCGACAATAGAAACACTGTGCCTCGCAGTGCCAGTGTGGTGTCTTTCGTTTCCAAAGCTGAATCATGTGATAAAGAAATACAAACTGAGGATATTATCGATGAAGAGTTCCTGTACAGGGCTTTAAAAAAGTAAAGATGGCAGTCTGCAAAAATTACTTTTTTTAATTGATGTTTTCTACTTTTTTCAGATGTAGTAACACGGAAGTTGATTATTGTAATAATCGCGAAGATGCAAACCCTGTATCGAAAACGAATGCAAACTCTTATTCCGCAAACCCAACTGAAGATGACCTTAAAATAGCATCAGAGCATGTTCCATACGAACATCAAAAATATAACGTTGAAGTGGAAAATCAAAATCGCTATTATCAATATTCACCAAGGTCTCAATATTCACATATGGCCAATGGTCACAACGAGGAAAATTTTGTGGAACAATTTGAAAATTTGCAACTTAACACACATCAACTTCGAGACGAAGAAACCCGTTCAAGTGCCCGCAGTCGTCAAACAATGTTTTCAACTGCCAGTAAGAAAAAATCTAATGGAAACTATAAATTTGGAAGTAGGCCAAAAAATAAATTTCAACATTTTCTCAAGTACTTTCTTTTTATAAAATTAGTTTTATCTTTTAGGTCGTGATGAAATACGTTTACCTAGATATTTAGAGAAAGAAAAACGTGAGAAAGAGGAAGAACGCCAGAGGGAAATTTCAAGAGATCCCAATTGTCCATTGGGTCATTATGCCATAAGTGAAGCAGAACGTTTGGCTGCATTAAATGCTGCTGAGAAAAGTAAAATAATTTATTTTTTTTACTTCTTTATTTTTAATTAATACCAAAAACAACTATTATATATATTTTCATGATATTAATTTCTACAAATTATAATGTTTATTTCTTTATTTTCAAAGAAATGGAATCTCTGATACAAGAACTAAATCGTATGCCCATGACAACTGAAACATTACGAATACGCCGGAGAAAAGTTGAAATAGAAAAGGAACTATCACAAATTGAATTAGATATACGAACATTTTCCAAACCCAAAGTATATGTTCCAGCTAGCAATGAACCTTCCAGTCATCTCTATTGAAATGTAATTGAAAGAGAGCAAAATTAATGGAAGACCCAGACGAATTGATATGCAATCTGTATACACAATTATTAATAGATACCATGTAAATATTTATATGTATATTTTGAGTACATTTTCTTATACAAATATACAAAAAGGCAATATATGTAAATTTCATATATATTTCATACTTATTATTCTCTACCTCACTAACATGAAAAAAGTTGTTAATAAAAGTTTCTGCGATTCGAGTATAAGTTATGCGAATGTAACAGACTTCATGTAAAGGTAAGATATGCGTTGTTGCTATATATAATCCATCTGCTTCCCAATTGGATTCATAGTTAATGGCCATATAGAAGACATTTCATCTTGATTAGCAGGTCCGCAGGCGGATCAAAAATATTCGGAATATTCGGAAACCACTAATATGTCGGTAACCAATTGTTTTTTTTTTCTGTATGTTAGAATTTGGACTATGCCACTATAAAATCTCCCACTTCATAAAAAATTGGTTAAAATATCGAAAGTTTTATTTAAAATATTCAAAAAAGTTTTGCTAGCAACTTTAATATATACTAAATACATTAGTTGTATCATACATCTGCTTATATAACTTTTGTGCAATAATTATTAATTACTGACCCAATTGTATTAAATAAGAGTATTATAGAACCACCAATAAAGTCAAGATAAGATTTTAAAGCCTTTGAAAAACGAACTCACGTAATCATACGTCATCTCACTTTTCGCACCGTCATTGTACCTATTTCATTTCATATATTCGAAAATGAATCATTATAAAAAATAAAACGTGTTGCAAAAAAATTTTAGCTGATTGATTGAAAAGCCCAGTATTTATGTTCCTTATTGATATACAACTTTGATAAATTATAGATTAATCGAGAGTCCCCAATAAAATTAAGAAAGTAACCTTAGACAATCAAATGTCTCACTTTTATAAATTTGACGTCCGAATATATGTTTTTTAAATATGTTTGTATAAATTAAAATGTATACACATATTAGAGGTGGGAACATGTTCTCTATACGATTGAATTTGTCATGGAAAATTGCAGAAAACCCCTAGACGTTCCATATGTTTTTTGCGATTTTTTCTTAAATTAAGTAGCTCTTAAAATGTGTAAAATAAACAGAGTTCGAAAATAAATTAAATCGCTCGAAGGAAGACCTCATAATTGGGCCATGGGGCACAGTTAGAAAAAATGTTATCATGGATACATCCATGGCGCAATAACAAGATGTTCCTGCTAATTTTCAAAACCAAAAAAAAAGCAATTGTGTATTGAATATATGAAAAAATAAATTTCGACAGGATTTTTTTCGTAAAAGAACAAAGGACTATTTTAAATTATGAACCGAAATTGAACTAAGTTCAGTTTGGTTACTCCTTAAAGTGGAAGTACATAAAGAGCTTTTTTGATTGCCATAAGTCATCGGCTGGCTTCTTCGTAAAAGAACAAAAGAGCCTACCTCCGTTCCTCTACGAAGACTAATCGAACGGTTCATATTTAAATAAAAAGAAGAACGATTTATTTGTCCGACAACATGATTTTTTTATCTATCGAAAATATGTAATAACCGGCCATGAAATGCTTTTGTTAACGGCAGGCTCATGGCCTAAGTTTAAAGGCGAGAATACATAAAACACTTTTTTTGCTGTCTTAAATGTGAGAGTACATAAAACACATTTTTGACTGACTTAATTCATTGGCTGGCTTCTTCGGAAAGAAATAAAGTAGCCTAGGGTCAAAATCAAACTAAGTCAACCAAAAAAGGCGTTTTATATATTCTCTTCTTAAGTCATCGGCTGGCTTCTTCAGAGAAGAACACAGTCAAAGTCTTCATGTACTTCCAACTTAAGGTCCTCCTTCCAAGCTCGCTGAGCACCAAATGTAATGTGAAAATGCACTATTGTGATTGAAATCACAAAACAAAAGATAAACAATAGCCAAAAAAGTGTAAACAAATGTTTACATTCCATCTGGTGTCATGTGCATGCTTCTTCGTAAAAGAATAAAGGAGCAAGTATGGGACGAAATTGAACTTAGTCAACCTATAACTCATTTGTTCACTTACTAAGGAGCCAGTCGATGACTTAAAACAGTTATTGTATGTATTCTAACCTCTTTTTATTGTATCAAAATAATACTATAATGTAAACATATTTTTTATAAGTTCCAAAGTACGTAAAAAGATTTATGGGGAAAGGTCTCAAAAATTTGTAATGGATTAAATGGCTTTTTTCTTTAAACGTGTGCGCCTATTTCGCCTTCAATATTATAAACTAACTATCGCATCGTAAACATGATTTTTTATCTCTCCTGATTATAAAGTGCTCACTAACGATAACACCAATTAAAATTCAGGCGATACTGAATGCCGGTATAGAATTTACAAGATTGACATTGTTCTATCTAATCTCAAAACTAAACGGACTACTCGTACATGTACCCCCTTGTCTTAGCAGAGAAATTAAATTTAAATTATAAATATCGCAATAACTTACGACATGAAAGTCAAGTCACATTTCTATGATAGGTTCTAGTGTTCTCAATAAAAACCGATAAGAAGTTTTTCAATAGTAATTAAAAATATAAAAGTGAATCATTCTCCATTAAAGTGGATAGCCCATAGCATGGTAGAAATATAGGAAGGAAATAACAAAACTACAACAAATACAATGTAACAAAAGCCCCATAGAAAATAATGCTAGTTTTAGAGCTATATGTCCAAACATGTAAACAAAACAAATTAATAGTTTAATTTTAAAAATGTATATTTTTAGAATATGAATTATTAAATTGAAATTTTCGAAACGAAGTCCCTAATACTGGGGAGAGTACAGAAAAAGACTTAAATGTGAGAATACATAAAACGCTTTTCTGCACGGCTAAAGTCATCGGCTGGCTTCTTCGTAGAGGAACAAAGCAGTCTTAGGTTGACTTAGTTCGATTTTGGCCCTACACTACTTTGATCTTTTCTAAAGAAGCCAGCCGCTAACTTAATCCAGTCAAAAAAGCTCTTTAAGTGCTTGCACCTTAAGTAATCGGTTGGTTTCTTCGTAGAGGAACAAAATAGTTTCAGGTTGACTTAGTTCGACTTTGGCCCTACGCTCCTTTGTTCCTCTACGAAGAAGCCAACCGATGACTTAAGCCAGTAAAAAAGCGTTTTATGTATTCTTACCTTAATAGTGTTCCAGAACTGCAATAATGTAAAAATTTTTACTATGATAAAATATTTTTCCTTTATGATATCGGAAAAATGCCAAAATAAACAGTTTAAATTCACAAGGTAAAGAACAGAAAATACAGAGCTGGATATATATATTTTTTATATAAGGTTACCTTTACTTAATTTTATCATGAATACATTGCCTATATGATCAGCTGATTTTATCAAAATACATGCATTTGTAAATTAATCGCATGAAAACATGTTAGAAGAATACAGGTAGTCGCATTGACACAGCTGCTGGGACAATGAAGTGTCAAACCAATTTTGGAATTAAAAACGTATATTATCACAACCTCCGACTGGCGTCGTGTGGGAAAACATATAGAAATCGACTTATTTTTGACAAAACATTTTAAAAATTTTGACATATCAATGTTCTCAAGCGTTGATGCATCTACCTGCATTCTTTTACCATGGAATGAAAACGTAAACAAAAATTTGTACAAGCATTTTTTAATCGGAATGGTAGTCCGTGTGTACTCGGCCCATGGCGCAATAATTTCCAAGGTAGCTAAAGTCATGCAAATGTTTACAATTTTTCCAAATTGATACGTATGGCTTGATCTCATTGTATATACACAAATCAGAGATGGAAAACTGTTTTCTATGCAGTGAAATTTAAAAGGGTAAATTACTGAAAATGCTTTTTTGAAGTGACATTACCTTCTTAATTTTACAATGGGTAGGTCATAGATAAAAACATGTATCCCTACAAAACTTACCTCCATACTATCATCCAAATCATTATTATTTGTGTGTTTCTTTGCATTTTCATCGTGATCTTCCTCTTCGACAATTTCAATATTTTCCTTAATCTCTGGCGCATGTCGACGACCATTTCTCCATTTTGGCGGTATTGTCTTTATTTGATATTCTTTCATTAAATACATGGCAGCATCTGAGTGCGGTGGGGCACGCATAAAACGTGCTGTCATATCGGCATTTTCTAAGCCTCTCAGGGTATTGATGCCACCCGGATGTTTATGCAGGAATCTTGTAATGTCGTAGAAATTTTTACGATATTTCACAATAATTTTGGATTTTTGTTCATCTGTAGTTCTGTCGGCGATATCATCGACAGGGGCTGATTGTGTTTGATGATTGGCATTTTCGGAATTTGGTGGCATTTTTATAATACTCAAGAAATTGTTATATTAAACTGTAAACGAGAGAAATTAAAAAAGTTTTATTAATTATAAAATATAATTATATAAATGTAGAGGCCTTCGAAAGGACGTATTAATTAATGAAACTATTGGTCTGTTCCATAGCTGCAAGAATGTAAATGTTTTTACTACAATAACCGATTTTACCTTTATCATATCGAAAAAAATTGCAAAAATATAGATTCTTGCAGGTTCTGTAACAGAGTAATTGTTAGATATTGGTGTCTTTCTAAAAAGTTTGGTAGTAAGGAAAATAATCAATGCAGTATGTATGTTTTAGTAAAATACAACTCTGATTCAAAACAATTCGCCTTGTGTAAACAGCAGGTTAGTTTTAAACAAAACTTTTTAACAGACCTTGACCTCAGATAAACGAAGGAAGTTAAAACCAGTCTTGTTTATGTCAGGATTATATTTCATACCAGTTGATTAATTATTTTACTATGAGTTGTTTATTTTATTTATCTGTACATTTATACCAGTCTGAATTTGCTATTGTTTTGACTCTCTCACTTTCGATTATGTATAGAGATTATACAGAAAATAACTAGTAATAATACAAGTTTGCCTGTTAATGTAAAATTTATATTCATGTTTTGTTATTCCAATTATTTTTATCTCAGGAAATTAATCAAATATTTAATTATTACGAAAATAACAACACAACTAACAAGTATATTACACAAGAGAGTAATGCAACAATTATTATACAAGGTAGACTCGTGATAGAATGCCGAAGAAGAGCTCATTGGAAATAAACATATCCAGCTTTCTGAAATTCACCTTGTCAAATTTAATTGTATGGAATTTTGGGTGATCGAACAACATGGTAGAATTAAGAAGGTAAAGTCATGCAATCATATGTTTATTTTTTATTTATTTGATTGTCAAAATTTATATTTATAAGTCCAGTGTATACACAGAAATCTTTTTTATTTTGTAAAATTTGACAAGGTAAATTACAGAAAATGCAGAGATTGGTATGCTTTTTTGAATTTCATTTTACCATATCGTACACATACAAAAGTAGATTTTTGCATGGCCGGATTTATTATAAATCCGGCGTGGAATCTACATACCAACGGAAAGCATCACATTAGTATCGCGGTACACTCCAAAACCGCAATTTTTTTCACAAAGGCGCTCTTTACATTTCCCATTAGTACAATAACAAAAAAAAATTAACATTTTATTTGCCCATTATAATACCATGGTACAATCATGACATAATTAGAGAAGGTACAAAAAGGTTCCCACTAAATACAATTTTTTCCTTTTGGTGTCCTTATTCTGTCAAAACATATATGCATTTTGTGTATGTGTGTGTATTGTTTTGAATAAAAAATGCAATAATTTTAAATTATTTCAAATTTGGTTGCAAAATAAATGCAAATTTTCGACGTAAATGGGTAACAAAATAATATTGTAATAAAACTGTATTGTCCTACTATTTTAGATTTAATCTTGTGGAATAACCCCGAAACTCCATTCTCGTTTCGCGGGTGTCTCCCAATATAAGAGTTTTGTTAAAAAAAATTAAAAATAAACGGAGCAACTGTTGCATATTTAAAAGTCTATTTGGCACTGTAAGACTCCACCACAGAGTTGCATTATTCTTGTTTCTTTGAAGTTGACCAATCTTTCTTATTGAGTCATGGGTACAATGAAATAAAGGTAACCTCATTTCAAATTAGCTTTCCCTGCTCTGCATTTTTTGTAATTGACCTTGTCAAATTCTAATGCATAAAAAACAGTTCCCATCTGATTTTGATTTTGTGTGTTTACAATGGATTTATTAATATAGATTTTGACAATGAGATGTTGTCAGATGCATAAATTTAAAAAAAATAAAGGAAACATATGATTACCTCTTAGTTCTACCATGGATAATGCATTCCTTGCAGAAGGTTGCCAATGTGAATAAAGTTGTTTTACATAAGTAGTCAACGACATGAACGACATTTCAGATGAGAAATACATGAGTAAAGTACATATCATGTAAGAATAATAGAGGTAGATGCATCAATGCCTGAGAACATTAGGTGTTTCTGGTTACCCTAAAATTTGTAAGAATTGTTACAAATTGTTACTGGAAGTTGTCTGTTAACCCGAAAGTTCTACAAAAGAGAGCGGTTGGAGAGAGAAATTTTGACAGTTCTTTCAGTGAGAGTTTGCAAATTCTTGCTGGACAAATTTCTTCTTGCATCGACATTCAATCAGATGTTTTTGTTTATTTATTTCTTTTTGTGATTTTAATTTGAAAATATTGTTTTGGAATCAGCAAGACTAAGGCTGGAAATACATAAAGCGCATATTTGGCTGGCTTAAGTCATCGGCTGGCTTCTTCGTAAATGAACAAAGGAGTTTTAGGTTGACCTAGTTCGATTTTGGCCCTAGGCTCCTTTGTTCATTCCCGAAGAAGCCAGCCGATGACTTAAGCCAGCCAAATAAGCGCTTTATGTATTCCCAGCTTAATTGTTTTTGGAGAACAACTTTACAAAATGTGAAAAACGTAAATGTTAATATGTAATAAGAAAAAAATACTATTTCCAACATTTTTATTTAAAAAACTTGTAAAATTAGTATTGGTTCCTTTGTTTTAATTCTCCTTATGGGATACAAATTGGTTTGTTTTGACAAATCAGCTGATTAGTTGCAAGCTTCTGCAGGAATAGCGTATGTTTACTTTTCGCATTTTCCTTGCAAAAGAGAATAAAACTACCTTACTCTCTCAGAAAGAAGTTGCTGGACAATTCCTGCTGGAAAAGTAACCAGACGCACCTATTTATATGCTAACAATCATTAATTTTAATTACATTGGAAAAATATAGTCTAATCAAAAATGTTGTTTGTTGTGTGAAAATGTTTGCGGTATAAAGTCATCCGTAATGTTTTATAAGTTTTTATAAAATGTTATATAATTAAATAAAAAAATAAAATAAAAATAAAAAAATAACATATGCAAGAGTGTGATCGCAAAAATTATAAGTCATATGTAAAGTGGCAGCACATATGTAAAATCCTTATCGTCTGATAGCAGCTTAAACACTTGCCTTTTTAACATCAATTGTCTCTACCATGATAAAAGATTACAGGAAGATGCATCGGCGCTTGGGAACATTGATATGTCACAATTTTTTAAATGTTTTTTTTTTTTTTTCAGAAATTAGTAGATTTTTATGCAAATCGGAGTTTGTTATGACATGCATTTTTAAACAATTTTTACCAATTTTAATAAATTTTTAAATAATAATTAATTTCAAATTTTCATTCAACCACTTCAGTTCCAAACTTTTACAGTTCATTTTTCCAGCAGCTGTGTCGATGCGACTACCTGTATTCTTCTGCCATGTTTGGCTAATTTTTATATACTTTTTTGGTTTTGTACATGGTAGAATGAAGAAGGTAAAGTCAAGCAATCATATGTTTACAATTTTTTCAAAAATTATTCATTTGAAAACATCTCATTGTCAAAATTATCCATTGTACATACACAAATCAGAGATGGGAACATGTTTTTATGTAGTGAAATGTGACAAGGTAAATTACAGAAAATGCAGAGATGGAAAGCTTTTTTGAAATGACTTTACCTTCTTAATTTTACCATGGTTTTGTATGTATACGTAAACAAACATTAGCTGAGCTTCTTAAAGCTGCTATCAGACGACAAGGGATTTATTGTTTTTTCAAAACTCTAAGTACAAGCACAAAACTGGCATAATCAAAGAAAAATTGTAATCTACCATACCTTTTTAATGTAGCATGACTTTATGCACGTTTTTAAAAATAAAACAACATATTCAAGATTTTGTAACAGTTGTATGATATTACCATGGTAGAATAATGAAGGTAAAGTCATGCATTCATATGTTTAAATTTGTCAAGATGTATATTCATAAATCCGAGGTGGGAATCGGCTTTCTATGCAGAGAAATTTGACAAGATAAATTACAGAAAATGCTAAGATGCGAATGCTTATTTGTAATGACTATACCTTCTTAATTTTACCATGGATATTACTAAAATCTCTTGTAATTAATTTACGATGACAAGTGTTTTGAGATATTGGTTGGTTATTGATTCCGCGGAGACATCGATCAAACCCACGAATTAAGTTTGTTGTCCGCTATGTTTTGTTTACATATTTGTGCTTAATGACATTTTAACTACCTTAAACAATATTCTATTAATTAGAATGTTTAATTATATGGACGCACGTGCATGAAAGTGTGACAATTCATTAATTGGTCTCAACAGAAATGTTATGTCATAGGAGACTTATTTTCCCCCCTCCCAATCGTCAATAAGGAAGGTTTTTATTTTATAGGTCAAAGAAATCATTAAACAACAATTAGCAGGCAGGACATAATTGAACACCCCTCAATGTAAATTAATGGGTTGTATGAAGCACGGGTTAGGTGACATTATCCCCCACATCTTTGGACGTGAAACATGTTGAGCAATCAGCTTGAAGTGTCAATCAATTGTTTTTATAAGGTAAATAACAATTGGGAAGAAAAATGTGATGGCATATATTTAAGTAGATTCTCAGATAATAATTCTGACACTCGTAAATGTCAACATTAAAAGTTTCGTAGAAGTTTTTGAGGTTTTTATTTGCACACAATTTTCTTTTCAAATACGAAACCTTGAATGGCATACCTTCGTGAAAAGAAATCTTTAAAATATCTTCAATCGAGTTTTGGGAAAAATACATGGAGTCTATTAGGTATCCTAATACATTCATAATTCAGGTACTTATGTACATATGACCTAGAAATAAAATAAATAATATTGAGTTTGTAGACAAAGAAGTAGGCGGGAACCACAATTCTATAGGTGGGACTACATAAAGCACTTATCTGGCTGGCTTAAGCCATCGGCTGCCTTTTTCGGTATTAAACTAAACCTAGGGCCAAAATCGAACTAAGTCAACCTATAACACGTTTGTTCATCTACGAAGAAACCAGCCGATGACTTAAGCCAGCAAAAT